GGGGAAGATCTTCCTCTTCTTCCTTAAGGGGCAATATTGAGGGGATAGGCTTGTGGAGGACGATCAATGAAGAGGAAGCATGTTGCCAAATAATTTCCAGATGTCGAAAACATGTGCTAAACATGTTTTAAACATGGGATAACATGTCTAAACCATGTTTAGCACATTTTCCGACATTTTAAACACATTTTAAACCCAATGGTAGGACCGTCAGGGTGTCCATTGTCGTGGCATCCACAACCTTAAGGGCTTAAGGGCTTACTGGGGAAACACTAAGTGGATAGAGATAGGGGAACGATTCGGTCCCCAATCGCCCATTCATCGCGGCCTCCCCGCCGCGCCCAGTAACGTGCGGATTTGCTATCGGGGGTTATGTTCGATCTATCGGCGATGTACCACATATTCCACATCGATGTGCTTTTCTCTTTTGATCCGGCCCCCCTATCGTTACCCCTAATGCCGACCGTCCCGCGTCTTGGTTGATATTTAAGGATCTGGGGGCTTTGGCCGGGTTCTGATGGAGGGGGTACGATGATGACGATGCTGCTGATGATGATGCTGATGATGCTGATGCTGATGATGATGCTGATGCTGACGATTACGATGACGATGATGATGCTGCTGATGATGATGATGGTGTTGATGACGATGATGGTGATGCTGGTGGTGGTGGTGATGATCATGATGATGGTGGTGGTGATGATGATGCTGATACTGTCGATGATGATGATGCTGATGCTGGCGCTGTTGCTGATCATGCTGATGCTGATGATGATGCTGATGATGATGGTGATGCTGATGCTGATGCTGGTGCTGACGATGATGCTGACGATCATGATGCTGCTGATGCTGATGATGACGATACTGAACATGATGATTATGATGATGCTGATGATGATGATGATGATGATGATGGCGATGATGCTGATGATGATGCTGATGATGCTGATGATGCTGACGATGCTCATGCTGATACTGATTCGGAAGATGATGACGGTGTCGATGCTGGTGGTGGTGGTTATGCTGCTGCTGCTGACGAGGACTACGACGATGATGACGAGTATGATGATGATGATGCTGATGATGATGACGATGATGATGATGCTGATGAGGTTGATTATGCCGACTAGGATGAGGATGGTGATGATGATGATGGTTATGATGATGATGATGATGATGATGATGATGATTATGCTATGATGGAGATGCTGCTGATGGTGATTGTGATTGTGTTGTTGCTGATGATGCTGATGATGATATTGCTGATGACGTTGACATGATACTGCTTATGATTAGTGTTCCTATCATTAGCAATGTTTCTACTATTACTATTCATTAATATTATTATCACCGTTGTTGTTGGTGTTACTGGTACTTCTTAGATGTCTAGTATTAGCATTATGATCATGCACAGGTTCACCATTATTCTATAGACTGGCGCCACATCCGCTGACCCCTATATAAGCTATTTCGCCTCCTGGACTGCATTTCACGAGGCTTGTCCGAATCATAACACGGCACTCGACATCGTTCCTGTTGCTTCGTTGTTGTTATCATACCTCTTGGTGCTCTTGTGTGGCCTTTTGGTGGCATCTTGGCCTGTCTGCAGGCCATACCCAGCCGCCTCGAGGCATCTTGCGCCAAGTTTGGGGCCTCTTGGGGGCTTCCTGGGGGTTTCTTGGAGGCCTTTGAGGTTCTCTTGGGGGTCCCTCAGGGCCTCTTGGGGTGTTCTTGGGGCAGGCTGGGGGCGTCTTGGGGCCGAAGGCTCGAAAAGGTGCCCTCTGGACTCCGTCTTGGAGCCGTCTGAGGGCCCTCTTGGGCTGTCTTGGGGGCTTCGTGGGCTGTTGTTGGACCCTCTTCGACCCTTCTTGGGGGCTCCTTTGGTCATCTGGGGACGATCTTGAAGGTTTCTTTGCCTGTCTGGGACGTTGTGAAAACCGACTAGGCGAGCATGCGAAAAATGCTTGTTTTTCGAAGGGGATGGGACGACTTTTGTTTCTTGGGGCCCTCTTGGTGCGCATCTTGAGGGGCCTTTTGGGGTGTCTTGGCAGCTTCGGAGGCCGCCTGGAGGCCATCGTGGGCGTCCAGGGGCGATATTTCGGCGAATCGTGGCCCTCTGGGACCGTGATGGTGATGGTGATGATGATGATGATGATGATGATGATGATGATGATGATGATGATGATGATGATGATGATGATGATGATGATGGTGGTGACGATGCTGATTCCGATAATGATGCTGATGATGATGATGCTGATGATGATGACGATGCTGATAATGCTGCCGAGTATGATGCTGACTGAGTATGATGATGATGCGGCTGCTGATGCTGATGATGATGATGCTGGTGCTGTTGATGATGATGCAGCTGACGCTGATGACGATGATGAGGATGATGATGCTGCTGCTGATGATGATGATGATGATGACGATGATGATGATGATGATGATGATGATGATGATGATGAGGATTGTGAATAATAGTATGAAGAAGATGATGAGGATGATTATGATGATGCTTCTGATGATGCTGATTATTATGATGATGATGCTGCTGATGATGATGCTGATGCTGATGATGCTGATGCTGATTCTGATTATGATTATGATGATGATGCTGATGATAATGCTGATGATGAGGAGTAGAAAGAGGAGGATGAGGAGGAGGGATTTAGGGATGGATGGGATTGTTGAGGGCTGGATGAATCCAAATTTAGTCGGCCCAGAAAGCCCTGGCCTGTGGCAAGCCCCAGGCGATGTACATGCACTCGCACAGAGCCATGCTGATAGACACCTCGTCGTCAGTCATACGTCGATCGATTGGTTGATTGATCTGGCTCCTCACTATCAAAGAGGAGGTTGAGGTTGAGGGACGACGAAGGCGACCTCGACGACGGCAACACTGACGACGACGACGACGAAGGCGACGGCGACGGCGACGGCGACGGCGACGGCGTTGGAGGCGACGGCGACGGCGACGGCGACGACGACGGCGACGGCGACGACGACGCGTGTGACCGGCGCTGGCGCCGATCCGGCCAGATTCTCGCCGCCGTGCGCTCAAGTGCGCGCGCGCGCTGTCAGAGTGGCGCCGCCGCCCTGCCTGAAGAACCCCAGCTTGAGGCCCAGCGGCTCAAGGGCCGCTGGGGAGAGAAGGAGGAGGAGGAGGAGGAAAAGGAGAAGGAGGAGGAGGAGGACCAGGAGGAGGAGGAGGAGGAGGACCAGGAGGAGGAGGAGGAGGAGGAGGAGGAGGGAGGAGGAGGAGGAGGAGGGAGTAGGAGGAGGAGGAGGAGGAGGTGGAGGAGGAGGATGAGGATGAGGATGAGGAGGAGGTGGAGACCCACCCTCAGAGGCCTTCGCAGGGTTCTCTCGGGAGGCCTCCGCAAGGCGTGCTCGCTCGCGCGTGCTGCGCGCTCGTGCGCGCACTCTGACCAGCGCCAGCCGCCGCCGCAGCGGACGATATTCTCGAGGCGTTTCTCTTCAGGTTCTTGATGTTCTCGAGGATCGATGTGCGAGGGACGAGGACCGATGCTCTTGTGCCCCTCTTGCTCTCCTGGGCTTCGGGGGGCTTTCGGGGAGCTGTGGGGGACGAGGGGTGTTAGGATTGTGGAGGGCGATCAATGGAGAGGAAGCATGCTGCCAAATAATGATTTCCAGATGTCTAAAACATGTTTCAAACATGTTTTGAATATGTAAAAACATGTTAGAAACATTTCTAGAACATGTTCTACACATGTGCGAGGATTGTTAGACTGTCCATTGTCATGGCATCCACAAGGGTAGGAGCACGAGGGATGGTTGAGGGATGGGTAGATCCAGATTCAGTGCTCTGGAGCGCTTCCTTGCTCTCCCCGAGTTTCCTGCGCCGCCCGGTCGCGAGGCCGGGCGGCGCGGCGGCGAGGCCCGCGGCGGCCCGCTGCGGCTGGGGGACGGCGAGCTGGCGAGAGGCGCGGACGCCTGCGCGCCCGGCGCTTCGGGGCTTCTGTCCTGCACCCCGAGGTGCTGCCGCGCCGGAAGGAGGCGAGGGCGTTCCACTCGGGGCTCAAGAGACGGGGGTCAATGCAAACGGGGGTCAGCCAGAGCGCACGATCTTGCAGGATCCTGCAGAGGCCAGGGTCGCACTGACCCGGGTTTGGGCGCAGGATCCTGCAGGATCTTGCAGGATCCTTCGCATTGACCCGGGTTTGGGTGCGGGACTTTGCAGGATCTTGAAGGATTCTGGAAGGCCTGATTGACCCGGGTCTGGATTGACCCGGGTCAGCAGATCCCCGATCCACTACTCGCAAAGTGCCTACCCGCAAACGCCCGAAATACACATGTCTGCCTCGACGTAATGGATCGTGGATCCCCCGCGGCGGATCCAGGCCGTATGCGAGCAGTTTCTGTGCGAGTAGTGGAACGCGCTTGTCTAGGAAGGAGGCGATGGTGTGGGCAGAGGGAGGCGAGCTAGGTGCGCTCGGGCCATGTCTGACGTCCTACCCCTTCTACCCATCCCTTCCCATTGTGCAGATTTGTTTTCAATTCGCCGACGCGCGTCATAGCGGTCTGGAGCTCCAAGAAGGACCCCTTCATGTCATGCGCAATCGGAACATGGGGTGCTGCGTACATTGGAGGAGAGGTTGGCGGATGAGCAGGAGGATGAGCAGGGGGACGGGGAGGAGGATGAGGAAGGATGAGGGCGAGGAGGATCAGCAGCAGCAGGAGCTGGAGTGGGCGAGGCATGAGGAGCATTATGGCCAGTGCCGATCCTAAAATGAGGCCTACGCTGCAGCGGCAGCATTGTTTTGAGACGCCGACTACGTTCTGACAAAACAAACACAGTCGGAATCATAAATGTTTGGAGTTCTGCGTGTAAAGAGCATTACGCAGATGGGGTCGTTCCACTCCTGGGCCATCTTCAGGGGGAGGAGAGTAGTATGGATTGAGTGTTTGTTCGCTCAAGGACTCTTGAGCAAGGCGCCTGGCTCTAGCCGCTTCAATTCCTGACACACGCTGCGATGTGGGCCACATCTCGCCTGAGCCCTTTCGCGCTACTCTGCGCTGCAGCCCTCGCGTCTACGCCGACGGAGGACGCGGACGAGGCGAGCTGCCTGGCGCTGCGCAGCAGCGCCGCGAGCAGACCGAATCGCAGCAGCCCCGCGAGCAGGCTGGACGCTCTGCGGGCTTTCGAGGCGTCCGTGGACAAGGTGATCCAGGAGACCTTCGCAAACGTCACTGGCCTCGGCACGCAGCTGGCGCATCCTGTGTTTGCGGACCCGTCGTGGATTGCATGCGCCAGCGAGAGCTGGGACAATGTCACGTCCAATGGGTCAGGAGCTGTCGAGATGAACGAATTGCTGAACATCGTGGCCTGTGACGCGGAGAACGCCCACGATCCCACTTGCCACTCTCTCGTCGCCACCTACAAGGCCTCGGTTACGCTCACAGACACGTTTCCAGAGGGGCCCAAATTCGCCAATTACCTCGTGTCCAATTGGGGCGACTACCCATCCTGGGATGAGGGGGCCGTGGCGAACGTCGTTCAAGAACGCATGCCTCCGTCGGCTCATGTCATCAAGGGGAACGGCTTGGTCATGTATGAAGTTTGCGAGGCTGTCCGCTCTGGAACCAGGTGGGCACTTGCACTTGTGGCTGGATCTCCTCCCTGGGCATGCTCTCCGCTAAGGCGCCTGCGAAGGCGCTCAAGATGGCGCTGCGGCTTACCTGGACTGGCAGAGCCACGCCACAGCTGAGCTTTCCTTGCGACTACGTCCTCAGCGACCAGTTCCCTGGTCTGTTTGCTACCAAGATGACAGAGTATGGCGTCCGAAGCAAGCGGTCGATTTCAACCTGAATTATTCCAGCCCTTGCCCCCGAACCCGGCAGACTGCCTAGTATTGTATGGTAGCCCTTTGAACACCTTCGGCTTGGCGGGGATGTGGATCCAGTCGGTGATCAGTGGATGCCTCCAGGATGTTTTTGAACAGGATTGTACCAACTCTTTGCCAGGGATATTCTACCCTGGCCAGAGTCCTGAGGGGCATGCCCCTGTGAATGCTCCTCAGGGCCAAATGGATCCCGAGACCATGTGGATATGTAATGCTGTCATCGACCCTGTCGGCAAGGGTTGCACCCAACTCTTCAACCCGCAGGCGGTTTGCGCGAACGTCGACGACGATACCTTCAGGGATCTTGCGATCCGCAACCCGAAGATCCATCCCGAAGACCCAATGTCCCAGGAGGCACAGGTTACCCAAGGAATCTTGAGCGTCACATCGTTCACAGAGGATTTGCTCGACGATGCTTGCGCCTCCGAGGTCGCATTGTTGGGCATCGGCGCGGGACAACTTGTTTCTGGAAACTTCTCAGGCAGGTGCAACCACGACGTGGCTCTAATAGCTTGCGTCCATGACAATCTGGACCTGGGGGAAAAGGGTGCACCTGACGAGGGCAGGCATCCTCGAGCCTCGCTGTTCGTTTCAGGATACCGCCCAGAAGCCATAGGGCTGCCCGAGGAAGACCTGGCGAATTGCACGAGCAACGCCAACGTGTTCGGCGGCGTGCTCTGCACGGCGGCACCCTCGGGCGATATCGCGCCCGCGACGCCCGTGAGGGAGGCGCCGCCGCGGCACGGGGCCGCCACTGTCGTGGCCCGGGCGGCCGCGCCCTGCCCTCCTCTCCTGCCTCGAGTGGCCGCGCGCGGCGTGGCGGGCCCGCCCCTTCGCAGGCTGGTCACGACTTGCCACGATCAGGTGCACGTACGATAGGTTCGCGTCGTGTCGACCAGCGGCGACCCCGCCGCCGACGTTCAACGTTGAACGCCGACGGCGGCCCAGAATCGGTCGATGTTGAACGATCGGACGTATGCGTATACGGTAGGTTTGCGTCGTGTCGACCAGCGGCGACCCCAGCGCGGGCGTTCAAGGTTGAACGCCGCCGGCGACCCAGAATCGATCGACGCCGGTCGCTGAAAGTAGGTATTTTTGGATTCCCAGATCTCCAATCTACCTCAAGCGCCTTCCTACTTCAAGAATCGACGCACTTTTTGCTCTGTTTTGTTGTTCTCTGGGAGGACCTGGACCCAATCCACTTTATCCGCCGGTAGGTTTGCGTCGTGTCGACCAGCGGCGACCCCAGCGCGGGCGTTCAAGGTTGAACGCCGCCGGCGACCCAGAATCGATCGATGTTGAACGATCGGACGTTGCGGCAGCGGCCGATCCTTCAAGGTTGAACGATCCCTGCGGTGTCAAAAACCACCGCTGGGGTCGGCACGACACGAACCTGCCGTACCCTTTCTCGAGTTCGCATGTCTGGTAAACTGCCCATGCAGATCGTCACTCTGCACCAGTCACGAGGAGCCTAGTCTTCCGCAGCGCAGTCTGCTTGTTCCCGGACCTGGCGACGCCACGCGCCGTCTGCGCTTGGGTTATACTCCCGTCAAGTGTGCACAGAGCGCTTCGGAGGAGCCTAACACGTTCCAAGAGGCCTGAGTCACCTTGCGCTTGTTTGAAAAGACTCCTCGGAGGTGACTATAGAACCTAGCGCGCGACCCATTCCTCCTTCAACATGCTCCCCCTCCTGCGTTCTGGGTTTCCAGTGGAGATGCCGGTAGTGCAAAGTCATCTTCTGTGGTAGGCCGTGCCGAAGCATGTTGCCAGCTAGGTTTTTTTTTTTTTTTTTTTTTTTTTTTTTTTTTTTTTTTTTGTTCGCAGGTGCAGTCGAGCGCAGAGTCCTCGGGCTGCTCAGTGTCCCACGCCATTCAGTTTCTCCCTGCCTCTGCATCAGCTCCACGCCATCTCCCGACTCTTCCTCCTCCTCAACAAGTCTTTCCATCGACACGTCTTTTCATCGACAAGCGTGTCCGCGACCAGTGCGACGTCGTCTCGCGTGGCTGATCGTGCCGAAGCATGATGCCAGCCACACAGGCGGTCGTTTGTTCCCTGCGCGCGCTGCTTGAAACAACAGCTATACAGTCGGCCCGGATAAGTAGGTCAACTCTGCCAGATCAAGGATACCCTTGTGTCCTGTGAAGGAAAGGGGCCCTGGAAGCCCCCCCCCCCCCGTCGAAGAGCAACTCAGGAAGAAGAGCTGGAGAAGGCTCCGGAATCTGGGGCCCAGACCTCCGCAGAAGGCATCCGTGCACCGCCACCCTGCCTGGCCAGGCCCATACTCGGCCCCAGGGTAGCGCACAGGCCCTCGGGTCATGCCAGGAGGTCGTGCACGTCGCGCCGGGGCCCAGGGTGGCCCTTGCCAGGCACGGTAACCTCGGCGGCGACGGTGGGGGCGAATAGCCCAGGGGCGGGCATTACACGTATTCGCCCGGGAGCCTTCTCGAAGACATAGATCATCGTCATCGGCGCACCTGATTGCATGTATTGCTCTCCCCTGGGCTATTCGCCCCTATCGTCGCCTCTGACCGGTGGTGGTGGCGGTGCAGCTGCCCCTCTGCGTGCCATCGCGACAGGCCTTCCTTCCCGCGACCTGGGCGTCTGGAGGCCCGTCTGCCGAGTGAGGAGGAGGAGGAGGAGGAGGAGGAGGAGGAGGAGGAACGACAGTGTGGTGTGTTTAACACCCTGAGCGCCCTGTGGCACGGTGCTGAGAAGCGCGAAGGGGCGCCTCTCTTTCGCTTGCGAGTCGTGACGTGGAATGCGAGGGCATTGTTTCATCATGACGACTCGCTTAGGGTTCTTAAAATCAAGATTTTACGCCGTCTACTAGAGACGGGTTGGATAGTTGCCCATCAAGAAACGCACGGAGCCCATTGTGATGTTGAGGACCTTCTCCATTCCCTTCACCTCCCCTTCCACGCCTGCTCTTCCTTCCACCCCAACTTTCGTACAGGAGGCGTGATCACCCTTTTCCCAATGTTTTCCCCCTCCGCTGCTAGGGAAGCCGTCACTGGTGCCCAGCTCCCGCCTCTCTCCTCGACTCCGATCGTTCCTGGAAGGGCTCTTCTCACGAGTTTCTCGGCAGTAAATGGACGCTGTGGTGTGCGCTTCCTTAACATCCACAACCACGGGTTGTCCCAGGTTGAGCAGGCGCTCCTCCTCGGCTGGATCAAGGACGAACTTTCCCCCGCTCAGGCTGACCCCCTTAATAAACTGGTCCTTATTGCGGGGGGCATGAATCTCCCTTCCCATGCCCCTCTGCCCTATGACCCTCAGGACCCCACCACCCTCTCCCCTGATGATGTGACCGACCCCTCCCCTGTCGATCTCCCTCTGCGTGGAGGGATGTCCTGGCTCTGGCTGTTGAATTTGAACTCCTCTCCCCAACCCACTTCTCTGCCGCCCCAAATACCTTCGGATTTATCGATAGGGTCTTCTCCTCGCTGCCTGGCTGGATCCTCTCGCAATTCGCCTCTGGAGGTGCCGTTAGGGAGCGCCCCGAAGTTTTGGATGCCCAGGGCCTGTCGGACCACGCCCCTGTAGAAATCTGTATTTGCGTGTTTCCCTTCACTCCTGTGGCCGAGCGTCCGATTCCGAGGACCGTCTTTGTGTCTGGTGAGTTTCGGAGCTTTCTGAAGAAGGCGCTTGCTGCTGGCCCCTTGGATGCGCCCTCGCCGCCGATGGCCCATGATTATTTTAATTTCCTCATGTTGGAAGCGGGTCGGTACGCTCGGGACTTGATTATCCTCAAACGACCTCAGACCCACACTGCAAGATATCCAATGGCCAGGAGTATGGCGAGAGCTGTGTTCAGGCAAGATTGGTCGCTGGCGTGCAGGCTTTTCCGCTCGCGCGAGCTCTGCAGGGAGCACTTGAACCTCAACTACGACACCCACCTCGTCTCCTTCTCCAACCCTCAGGTCTTCACGACCCTCTCCAACTCGCTCCACTACTCCTTCGCCGAGTCGACCCAACGTTCCCTGCAGGCTAGTGCTCAGCGGCTCCACGACCCGTCGGCGGTCGCTCGTGTTGTGGGCCGAGCTCGCCGTGTTTCGCGGCTCGCCCGACTCTGGTCGCCGTTCGATCGGCGCGTGATTTTGGCCGGTGTGAGATTTGACTCTGGCACGGTTGAGCAATCTCCCGCTGCGATCCTGCGATCGCTCTCGCAGCACTGGGCGCCAGTGTTCGAAGCTAAGGAGTACCTCCACGAGGCGGCAGAACAATTCCTGGACATATTCCCCCCTGACCTCGATGGTCAAGATATCCCCCCACCTACGTTTTCCCAGCTTCGGAAATTCCTGGACCACCAGTGTGAAAGCGCCCCCGGGCCCGACCGTCTCCCTTATAGCGCGTGGAAGAACGCCCCTCTTGGAGATGAAGTGCCGTTCAAGTCGATGAGATGGCTCCACGCGGGGCAGTCTTTCACCTTTGGGTACAATATGTTGCGGGGTGTTTTCATCCCCAAGGGGGCCGACCCTCCTGGAGATATCCCTGGGGCGAGGCGGCCTGCGGAGGCGAGACCCCTGGGATTAAAGAACTGCGACAATAAAATCATCACGGCGATTTCGGTCCGCCCTTTGACGGCTGCTTCCCCTTTCTGGTCTTGACGGAGCCCAGCGGGGCTTCGTCCCCCGGCGAAACTTTGGCAATAACATCATTGAACTCGACGCTTTAGCCCGTCATGCCAGTATGACTGGTGGCCCCCCCTCTCTTCTTCCCTCTCTCCTCTGCTTTGACTTCGGTCAAGCTTTCCCTTCGATGTCCCAGCAATGGCTCTTTGCCGTCCTCCGTCGCATCTCCCTCCCTCCTCCTCTCTTCGCTCTTCTGGTGGTCCTCTTCTGGATTACCGGCGGCATTATCCAGGGGTGCCCTGCGAGCGGGACTCTGTTTGCCCTCGGGGCCGACTCTTTCCTGGAAATGTTTCGACAAAAGTTGGAAACCCCGAAGCTAGGCCTTGTACGAGATTGCGCTGATGATATAGGTGCGATTTTATTTCGTTTGCGGGGCCTCGGGATCCTGCGCGAGATTCTCGGGCTTGCGCAGACCCTCGCGCACTTGGCGCTGAAGGTAGCGAAGTGCAAGATTGTGCCCTTGGCGGCAGAGTTTAACGAGATGATCGCCGCTCGCTATCGTCTGGTGCTCACTCAAACCGTTCCTGGGTGGAAAAACTTCGACGTAGTCTCTCGCGTTTTATACCTTGGCCTATGGATAGGCCCGAGTGTGACCCCATTGACCTCCTGGCTGGACCCCTTCGCGAAGTATGTGAAGCGAGCGCGGATGATTGCGGACGAGGGCGCTCCGACCCAGCTCGCCGCGCACTTGTGCGCGAGGCGCGCGGTGACGGTGCCCTCGTACGTTGGCCAGTTCCAGCTGCTGTTGCCCCAGCGCCGAAAGATGGAACGCGCAGTGCTAGCAAGTGCATTCGCTCTTCCATGTTTCCGTCTTGACGCTCAGGGTTGGCCCAACTTGGCTGAGTGGGGCGGTCCTTTGGTCCGGAGTATTTGGGCGACAAACTTGGCGCAAATCATGCGCGCCGCCTTATTTACCTTCACGTCTTGGAGAGAAATGAATCAGATGCTGATCTCGAGTGCTGAGGGGAACCCCCCGATTGCCCTGATCGTTCGTGGTCGAAAATGGCCCGATGGAGTCTGGCGGCGTCAGCTCTGGCCTTCGTTTTGGCAGTCGCCAGCGATTGCGAGTACGCTTGCGGCTGCTGCGCAGCAGTTTCAAGGAGTAAATGAAATCAGGCTTCCCTGTCGCTCGGCATTTCTTCACCTTCGACGTTTTCAGCGTGAGAATCCCCATGTACACCTTAAAGTCCTTCATCCCCAACGACACTTATCACATCATATTCCTGAACATCACTTCCCTGACGATCT